GCTGGCCTGGTTTGCCCAGGAGGGAGGAGTTCAGGAGCGCTGCAGTCAATAACACACCCATCACTTATCAAACACCTCACAAGACTGACAATCCAGAGAGCGTCTCCATGACAACACAACTCACTCCACAGAACTTGCACACATTCAGATCCAACTCTCAGTTGCGGCGTGAATAATAACTCAGCTGCATGTCTTAGACTTTCCTTAGAGCCCTTTTATTTTTATTCAGTCTTAATTCAGAGGCTACATTGCAACACATAGTCTTGTTTCTATTCATCTTTTTGAAAGGGTTTATTGAACCATTATCATTTTTTTTACCATTGCAATTAATATGAAGCTAAAATCTCAAATAGCCACCTGCTTTTTATGTGACTTTGGATGTGTTTAGAGTATTAATGTTAAGATATTTTACACAAAATAAACATGCAAAAGGTCACTTTTTTGCAGTGTGTAGGCCAGTATAAACCAGTTTTAACCATATAATTTGTTTACAGTATTATGTCTATTTATGTTTATTATCTAGACCCAAAACTCTTAACAAAACCTAGATTTGAAATAATCCACAGTGGGAGCCGCTGTGTGAGGTCTGTTATATGTAACATATGCCACTGTCAGAGCAGAGAGGCACATTCAGGATTTAATTCACACAGTCACAGACAGATGTTTGTCTGAAACAGGCTGAACCCAAATTTGTCTTGTGTCAGTTACGCATGAAAGCACAGCTTGCGTCTGCACAGATGCATTCATGATTAGGTGAATGAAAAGGGTAATAGACATAAAAAGAGTGGCAAAGACATTATGACCAACAAACATATAGTTAGACGGACGGACGGACGGACGGACGGACGGACAGATAGATTTCTTTTAAAGTTCTTTTACTACCGAATATGGTGTCTGTGTTCATTTAAGGGTGTTTTCACAACTGGTTCTATTGCTTATACTTAATCAAAGTTCGATTGCTCCTCCTTCCCCACTTGATTGTGTTAACACTTTTTTGATTCCAAACAGTGGTATGATTATTTTATCATAATTCATAACGGCAGCTGTTTAGCCTTGTTGCCATATAATGACGATGCAGGAGAAGGTGGCAAAATGCATAGCGTTGCTCACCTCATTTTTATACTTTGGTTTTGTTTCCAAAGTGTGAACACACAACTGCACTTGCGTCTAAAGCCATATTCAGACAGGATTCATTTTACAGGGAAAGGTGGGGAAAAGTCCCTTTCAAGGAAAGTCTTTTCACTCGGCAGCCATATTTGCAACACCTCCGAGTAGCTTATCCAAGACCAAGTCCTATCTAAATGAATGGGGGACTCCTGAAATCTCAAAAACTGCCCTATGAACTCACAAATAAATTCAAATCAGCAACAAAATCTGAAATTAAGTGCCCCATGAATGTTGTTTATTATTCTCAAATAGCATTAAAAAAGCTTATTTTTCAGGCTAGACCAGCCAATGCGCATGCACAGTCATAACACGCTTAAGACTGCGCATGCGCATTGGCTGGTCTAAGCCTCAGGTTTCTATGGAAACCGGAGCTTCTAAGGGCTGCTGCAGTGATGCAATGACTTTACCAATCAGCGATTGGCTCTTTCATTTAGAAGGCGGGACTATTCCGCCATATTGCGCGTTGCAGTTTCTCCCATTCATAAGTTATAGGAGTTAACCGTCTTTGTATTTCTATAGTATTTGGGTGGGGTAAAGTAATTATTAGCAGAGCTACTCAGTGATTTTAGTCCCGTCCAAATGTGCCATCTCAGTAATCATTACGGACAATGTCAGTAAAGATTATGGCGACTTTTACCTTCTGTAAAAAGGTCTCTTACCTCAGGTTACACTAATCCCGTGCAAATAGACCAGCTGTAAATGTACATAAATATTCTGTCATTTCCTGGCACGAAACTTCTGTTAGCTTTAGGTAAGTGCCTATTACTAACACAATCCAATCAGAATTTAATTAATAAATTGTTTGACTGGACCCAACTGATATTATAAGCAACATATTATAAACATATTATAAGCCACGCAGTACGCACAGGAAGCTATGTGGCACGCACATGATGACAGGGAGGTGACGGCGGTGTAAATCGAGTTACCCCTCCCACTTCTGGTAGTTTTACTGAGATTTCATATCCCATGCGAATTGGCCATTATTACAGACATCCTGTGGTAAAATTACATTACTTCTTCTACCTTTGTAAAACTAATCCCATCCGAATAGGGCTTAATATGCTGCAAATGTACAGCAAATGTTTTCCAATAGAGATTCGCTACAATTTGGTTCATATCAGCAGTGAACTGTACTAGAGTTTACATGAACCGTACCCCAGATCACCTTTCTAAAGCAGACTTGGGTATGGTTTGCAAGTGCGCAACCAAGTTCAGAAAACAGCTTTCATATCATCCAAACAAACCGAACTCTGATGTCAGACGAACCCAGGTGCGCACCAAAAGTGCAAGTGTGAAAGCACCCTAATCGTGTGTGTTTAGCTCTGTTCAAAAACCTGGTGAGTTACCTTATCTTCCTACCTAAAATGTAACCTCATAATTGACTGATTTGAAATGTTTGCAGAAACTCACAATTATTTGTTTGATGCTAACATGTTGCTAAGCTAACAATGCTCTAAAAAAATGTGATTTTGCCCTATTGTTTGACCAAAACTAAGTATCTCGGAACTCAACAAAATGTTTCTGTCTACTTTTTGGAATAGTCTTTTGAGTCAGGAGTGCTGCTAAAGTGTCTTAAAATGTTGTCTAGGTAGGCAGCTCACTAGGTTTTGTAGAAGAGTGTCTACTGCAGAAGCAGGGAATTTCATATTACCATGGATGCAATGAGGTGATTTTCTCTCTCTCTTATTCTCTTTTCTTCTATTCTTTCCCACCATTCATCCCTCTCTGGAAGGAAAAACAACAAGCTGCCATTCTCAGGATGAAACACAAAGCCTGAGGCGTTACTCTATTCCTGCCTTGACAATACATTAAGCAGCAAACAACTGCAGCTTAGCGAGAAAGAGGCAAGGAGAGACAAGAAGTCTTTTAACCTTGCATTATCTTCTCTCTCGATCCATCTTGTCTCATTCCCTTATCGTCCTTGGTGCTTCTTTCTTCTCCTTCCATTGGCTGGGATGTAAAGACATTTTAACAAATGCCAAGTCAAGCGATGTCAGGGGAAGATGAGCGTGAAGAAGCATCTTTTTTCATCCTTCACTGCTGCTAACCTGCATACAAAAGTGAAAAGTTGGGTACTTAAAGGGATAGTTTACCCAAAAATGACTATTCTGTCATCATATACACACCCTCATATCATTCCAGACAGCTGGATTTTCTTCTATGCAATTACAGTGTTCAAGCTTCTTTTCCATACATTAAAAGTGGATAGATACTGAGGCTATCAAGTTCCAAATTTAAAAGCGCAAAAATGGCAAAAACGACAGCCGGGAAATTTTTAGCAAATAATGACTTAAAGGGGTCATATGATGCGATTTCAAGTTTTTCTTTCTCTTTGGAGTGTTACAAGCTGATTGTGCATAGATAAGATCCCTGAAGTTGCAAAGACTAAAGTCTCAAAACCAAAGAGATATACTTTATCAAAGTTAAGACTCTGCCACGCCCCCCTAAAACGGCTCGTTCTAACACGCCCCCACATATCTACCTCACTATGTGGAAATATTTGCATAATGCTGCCCAAATGTGCACGCAAAGAAAGAAGGCGTGGTTTCAGTAACCGCAGTTAGTGTTGAAGCAGCCATGTCAGGGAGACGCTGTGTGTTTCTAGGCGAAAGCAAAAGCACTTTATTTGGCCTTCCGAAAGTAGATGCATTTAGGAATCTTTAAGATTACTTACAACAGAACAGCAATGCATTTTATGGACGACCGTTTCGTAAACCTAGGAGAGGAGGTAATTCTGACTTTGCTATGACAATCTGGCGCTTCTGAATCAGCTACTGTTTTGTTATTAGTTTAAGTATTTGCTATTGACTGTTCAAATGCGGAGTTTTGCGCATCGTGTGTGTGTGTGCGTGTGTGTGCGTGTGTGCACGCTGTTACACCAAATACACAAAATAATGATCTTTAAAAAAGCATCATATGACCCCTTTAAATTAAGGTCTGTTTCAAATAAATATTAAGGTATGATTTCCGATGGCTGGAATATAGCATATGAGTCATATAGACTACTTTGATGGTATGATTAGGTGAGTAAATGATGACAAAATGTAAATTCTTAGGTGAACACAAGTTCAGAACAACTTTTGAAAGGGACTGCTCCAGTAGTCAGGTAGCAGCCTGTATATTTTAGCTTCCTGTGTTCTGGACAGATCTTAATCCATTGCAAGGGGCATCATCAATAAATCTTTGGCTGAGATTACAGGATAGCATGAAAAATAGATATGCAGAGAAGAAGAAAGACTAAGGGGAAGAGAAGGGTGTCACAAATGTGTCTTTCCTAACGGAAACACTCTCTCACACGCAGAATTCTCATCTTTAACTGTGTTTATTTATAGCCTCTATCTACAAACACATCTCAGATGTGACACTCACAGCATCTGCATTCAGAGCACTCTCACTGACCCAGATGCAGCATGAGTGCTTGCTGCCAGCAAAATCAAAGCCCTCACAATGCAGCCGCAGTCTGATCTATTAGAAAAGAGCTAGCGATACTACAGAACCACGAGGTTGCCTTTCCATAATCTATTCTGCGGCATCTATTACATAAAAATAAGACAAAATGGGATGAAAAAGACAACTTGTCTTTTGCAAAATGGTTGAGATAAGGACAGCTCATTATCAGAGCTCAGCTGTGTGTGTCTCTTCGATAACATTGAAAGGTTTAGCTGAAGAGCTCCTTTACATTAGTATGTGTGTGTGGTGAAGTGCTGCAGGCTCTGGAGAGGATGTGAAGAAAGAAAATGCTGATGTTTTCTATTATTTATAAGCATTTCCCACATAATGTGTGTGTAGCCATGAATCTGGTCAGTTTTAACGCAATACAGTCCCATAGTGGCATGACAGGTGTATGCAATTTCTGCACTATCACCAAACAGTTTTGCTAAAACAACGGTTTCTAAAATCTTCCTCCATCTGTCATTGGTCAAAAAACTGGGGGCCCACCCCAAACTCACACAACTAGTTGAGCTATAAGTTGACATCTCGAAAGGCATGAAAATAAACCTTTTGTCGGTCATTCGGTTTCTAATTCTTGTAGCTTTGCCAGTGTAATCCCACCCACACTGAAGTTTCATTGGTCCTCTTTGGGTTGTTCAGCATTTTCACTTTCAGCATTTGTCTATACAAATTACTTGTCACTGAAAACTTGTCATGTCGTGCCTGGATAGGACATGGTGCACCACCATAAGAACTTAGACAACACATGCAACTTAGATAACTGCAGGAAGGCTGGTTGCACGAGTGATAGATTCAGTTGCACTGTCACAAACAACCCCAAGAAAGAAACCTATGAACTCTCTAGAGTGACTGCAGTGCGAATAAGCTGTGGATGCAGGGATGAGGGTGATTGGCTCTCAGCTTTAATGTGATTACTATTAGACTGCTGATGGCTATTAGTATAATGATGATGATTGTCTTTTGAAGTTTTGCTTATTAGATACACGAACCAAGAGATTAAAGCGAGAGATAGAAGGACAGAGATATAGGACACAGGAAAAGGCTCCTAGTGACTGTTTTTAGTGGCTATTTTATGACACAGCAAACTGTGTGACAAAGACAAGTAGATGTGTTAATCATGCCCGATTCATTTGGCAGTATCCGTATGTGGGCTATTTGATCTCTTATGATATAGTTTTACTTCCTACTCGCACCAGTTTAAGTTTCTTTTTTCCTGTTGTAACTCCTTTTCTTTATGACTGTGCTAAATCTCTCCTCCTTGGTTCATCCAACCACTTATGCTGCCTTCAAGTCCTGCTGGGAAGTTCCTACTTATGGGTTCGGATGTCGTAATTTCGACATGATGTGCATTTAATTGATTTTGGTCGGAATAAACAGGTGGGCAATTTAATATTTTTTCTCTTTTTTACTTTCTTGCTATGGCTTGACACTTCATGTCACTAAAGTAAAAAAAAAAAAAAGAGAGAAGATGAGCAAAATATTTAAATTAGATGTGTAACTGATGCTTTGTGTATAATTGCTTTGTGCTTTTATAATTTTTTTATTTTCTCACTGCCGCAGAAAATGGGAATAGTCGTTTGGCCTAGATAGTCTATTGCTTCATAAACAAGTTAAATGAATCAAACTTTTTGCTTTTCATCAACTCTATATGTTTATAAATTCCATACATTCATTTTTCAGAACGATTGTCCTATGTAGGGTTGCAGAAATGCTGGATTCTATTCCATGTTTGAGATTGGATGCTTTCGATAGTCCAGGGGTGTCCAAATCTGCTCCTGGTGGGCCAAATTCCAGCAGAATTGAACTTAGCCTTAAAGGGGTCATATGATGCGATTTAAATTTTTCCTTTC